TGAGAGGGAAAACCTCACTTTATGGTAGGTAGGAAGCAGAGCAGAGCCATTATAAGAAAGTGCCAGGCCGGGCGGTGGTGGCGCACGCCTTTAATCCCAGCACTCGGGAGGCAGAGCCAGGCGGATCTCTGTGAGTTCGAGGCCAGCCTGGGCTACCAAGTGAGTTCCAGGAAAGGAGCAAAGCTATACAGAGAAACCCTGTCTCGAAAAACCAAAAAAAAAAAATAATAAATAAAAAAAAAAAATAAAATAAAATAAAAACATCTCAATATGGGCAAAAATATACTTAATATCTAGTTGGTTTACATTATTGTATCCTCATCTCTAAAATGAATTGGCCTCACTACTCCCTTCTGAATTAATTCTAAGAGTATTTTTTTAATCATTCAAAACACTTTCTTATCTAGTTTTATTAGCATCACTTGGTCTTCTTTTTCTTAAGAGTTTTTATTCTAGAAGAAAAATACTAACTCTGGAAAAGCAGATTGATGTATGTATCATTTGTAAATACCCCTAACGCACTGTGTAACTTTGATACATAAGCTGAGAGTTTTCTAATCAGTAAAATGGAAACACTGATTCTTAGCTACAGGATTGTAATAAGAAAGCGTTTATAAAGTGCTGAGCATAGGCTATTCATCCTGTAAGGCAAAGGCTGTGTCTCTCCGAAAAGCTAAAACAAGTTTCTTTTCAAGGGTTAGTATTTGTTTCATTTTAAGGTATTAGTTATCTTTGACATAATATGTTAATATAAAACATGCTGACATAGTTCTGATCACAGCCTACTAATTGGGAACTACACTGCCACTTGTTACTTAGTCCTTGAGCCTGTAAAATGCAAGTGTACAGTGCCATATGAATGAGATGGATTGTGGCCCATATGAACACAAAGGGAATCAAGAGCCCTTCAGTGAAAAGAACAGCTAGTTTATGGGGACATTATTTGTTCAGTTTTCATAAAATACAGTGTGTTATAATGTAATTAGGACTAATCCTAAAAATCCATTTGCTCTGTTATCTTTAACCACACAGGCAGAGAGCCCAGCAAAGACAAATCAAGAAGGTTACTGTTGTTAATCATGCTGTAGCCAATGTTTAAGCTATGATACTGTGTTGTTACTTACTGATACTAAAAGCACAAGGATTGAAATAGTGATGAATTACCCGAAGGATGTCCTGTTAATGCACTTAAAGAAGAGAATAATTTCCAGTGTGTTTGCATACGAGTTTCAGATAGCCTCCAAGCAGCAGGACTCTAACTTCATAGTGTCACGTGTGCTCAGAGAGTGTGAAAAGCCCTACGAGCAACAATAATTAAAAATAATCTCTATCATTATTTAGTTAATTGTCTTTTAATATAAAGTTATTTGAACTAATACAAATGTATTCACATACTTTCTTTTTTTGTTGTTATTTGTTTTGTTTTTGATTTTTTTTTCTTGAGACAGGGTTTCTCTCTATATCCCTGGCTGTCCTGGAATTCGTTCTGTAGACCGGGCTAGCCTGAAACTCAGATCTGTCTGCCTCTGCCTCCCAAGTGAGTGCTAGGGTTAAAGGCATGCACTACTATGCCCAGCTATGTATTCACATTTTATGAGCTATTTTATAAAGAATGTTCAGCCTGCACACTGATTCTTTACATCAACCTAGGTGCTAATAGGATTCATCAAAATAAAGGGAAGAATACTTTGAGTCCTTTTGTCAGAGGCTGAACATTGTATTGATACCAGGCTCCATCTTGGAGAGAATATGAGATCTCCTTAGGGTCATTCTTCCTAAGAAACTGATCAGAAACATGAGAACTTGAAGAAAAATTCAAATTTTATACTTAGCTTTCATTATCCAAATGAAATAAATAAGCAGTACATTTAATAGTTGCTTGGACAAAGGTATCCTTGTTATGAGTGAATGGTATTTCATATTTTATGTCGTTTGAATCTTCATAGTGCAGCTACTGATGCTGATCTGACAACCTAAAGACAAGCACCGTCTTTTACCATCTCCAGTTAAGAAGTTTATATCATCCTTGAACTTGATTGTACTTCTGAATCAGTCTCTGCACTAATCTCTTGCAAGTACAGCCATTGGGCTTGTTCTGTACTTTGTGCTCAGTTCCCAAGGTACGCTTCGCAGAATCTTACCACAGTCGTAGCTCACCGGACTCTGGTTTCACTGTCTACATGTTCTATTCTCAGACGCATAGGCAACTTCAGCTCATTTCCTGCATCCCTCTGGTGAAAATGTTCTTTCCATTCAAAGCAGTGATACCATTTCTCCTAGTACAATTGAGCAACACATACCCAAAGCAAACAAACTAAAAACTCATTAAGTGAAATTGCTACTGATCATGGGTGATTGTCGTCAGAGCTCAGTAACTGCCACCTGGGAGCATTCAGCTCTGCCCCCTTGCAAAAGGTCATCTTAGCTGGGCTTGTTAACAGTTTATACCTGCCCCCAAGTATCCAGCTGCTTCTTACAAACTGGCAACTGTACATGGCCTGGAGGAGGGATTTGAATGTGTATATATTTTACATATTCACATGTATAATCTATGTATTTGTATATATGCCAAGGGGAAGAATAGAGAAGGGACTCCATCTGGGTGGCTATGGGAAAGCTCTCATTCTGACTGGCTGAAGCTTTCCAGGTGGTGGCCAGTGGGGAGGGAATACCCATGTCCCTGTAGGTAATCCCTCACCTGTGCTCTGTAAGGAAGCTTACTATCTCCATGGAGAGGGGATAGACCTTAGATTCATCTCCCCCGGGAAGGTATTTTAGCAACGCTGCTTTATACCACCGCTCATGTTCTTTGGTTAGTTTTTATTTTCAGAAATATGAGCAGGAGAGTATGTATCGGGGACTATTGGGGTCCAGCCCCTAATAGTCTGCTTTCCAGGGTCCTCGGAAGAATCTATCAACCAGTTGAGACTCTATTCTTTAAGGTCGGCAAATCAATCTACGCACGCAGAGTTCTTTGGTCCGTTCGCTTTAATCCTTTTCTCGTCCCTTGCTTTACAGTTATATATCTCTCCAAAATCACAATTGTCCCCTCCATCCAGGACACTCAGCCTGAACTTCCTCAGGCAGTGATTGTCCGTTATCAGGATCAAATGGAGGGTTGATAAGAATTATAAAGAGGGGCACTAGTTGTTAATTACCATTTGCAACCCAAAGGGGAAGTGACTAATGAATTAACTAAAGGCTAAATACTGGTAATATCTAAGAAGAGGGATCTTATGTGCACAACTATAATCTTAAATGTGTTTGGTAAAAGATGTTAAAAATCTATAAGTTGCTAGGTCAATGGGAGAAAATAAAACTGTTTTCTTTTTTCCTGTGGCTCCTATCTGTCCAAGCTGTCTGCCGTTTTTCTGCAGGGTGGGGGAAAGTGTGCTCAGTCTCTAGGCAATCTGTGTACAGGTAGATGCCTTTGGTGATAGTTAAAGGGAGATCTGGAACTGGAGGTAAAATTTGGGAAAGGAGGAAGTTAAGCTAATAGGCACATCTGCCAGGCCTTCTCAAACAGGTAGCCTGGATGCTTAAGTCTGTTCTTAGAGAGTACAGAGGTATCTCTGATAAGGTACTTTCCTCCAACCGGTGATGGACCTGGCCGAATGCTACCAATAATGATAATTACAGGGAGGCTTGAACTGGGAGTTCTGGCTGAGCATAGTTGTTAGTGCAGAATGTTATCTAAATATTCCTAGAAGTGGTTAGGTAAGGAGTTAGAGGTCTATAAAATTAGTAAGGCTGTAAGAAAGGAGGGGTCTGAGCTAAATTATATAAAGCTGTTACTTAATGTCTACCTGACCTAGGCGGTGTCCCCTTGTGGAATTTACCTTAAGTCAGGAGACTCGCCTGGGGGTTATTATCACTGTTAGTCCTCGGAAATTGGGTGACCACCTGGGTGATGTCTCCTTTAGTCCTTGAAAGTGGCTAGGGGAGATATCTGATTCCAGAGGAGGCCTTTCCTGAGGCTGTTCTCCAAATGCCTGGAATGTGTATGTCTAGAGAGTGATCAGTCCACATTGTTAGCCCTTCTTAGGGAAAAATCAATTGGGAAAAC